TCCTGCATACTGCTCCAGCAGTGGTTCAAACGCTACTGGCTAAATATCAGAGTACATTACCTTGAACTCTGATAACCACTCCTCCACAACCCCAGTGTCCACAGCTAACATCTTCCAGCATCTGTTCCAAAACCTTCAGCCTGAAAGGACAAGCAAACAGTTTGTGAGAGCTATGTAGTTACTGCATTAAGTAGATGATGAAAATTAAGTCCCTGTGAATATTTAAAGAATCTTTTCATGCTTTCACTTGTTAACATTTCACATGCTGACGTTACTTTGAACTTTTATTCTACCTCACTTAGGCAAGCTGCTGGAAGCATTAAGCACAGGAGTCTTCACATACAGCAGTTTAATAAATTCCAAGTATGTATTGCGTGGGAAGCTCAATAAGTCAAAGATTTGCAGAAATGCCATTTTGAAAACAGAAAATATTACCTTCTCAATTTCAGTTTATCTTTCAGCTTACAAAACTCAAGAGAAAACTGTATGGACTCACTAAAGAGAAACAACTGCTTAGGTTTTTTCTAGTCAACTGTTATTCCCAACTTGGGAAAGGTCACTGAAATAAAGGCGGATGGAAAACCTTTCACTCCTCCCCCACTGTGGCAACTGCAAGACAATAAGCCTGTTGGCTCAGCATGGAGCCTAAGACGGTCTCCCCTGCCTAACATTATTCTGCAGAGTCTCAGACAGAGCAAAATCATCAGCATTAGGACTTCATCATGGATGCAGAGTGGCTTTTGAAATTAATTTCTGATTTCTCTTCATTTTTGAGAAACATTCAAAAACAACTGTCCCTTGGAACAACTTATTTTGAAACAAAGAACAATGCATCATTAAGACACAAAACTATTAAAAGTTACAAGAATATGCTGTGGGAGATCCTCCAAGGATTGGTAAAATATTCCACCACATACACACATCAGCTTATCCAAATTGTGACCACGGATTTGAAACAGTGACAAAATTACCCACATGAGGAAAAAAAATTAACATTTCCTTGAAGTGTGAAATGTTCAGTAATGGGAAATATCCCAACAATTTTTGCTTTGCCAGTTTAAAATTAGTTTTAAAGTACTGATACACAAGCATATGTGAATGACAAGCAAGGAAAAGCTGGGAGGGAAGAACTGCCTGGTATAACACAATTACAAATATTTCATTCTGAAATCCAGTCTGTAGTGGAATACATACAGAGAATTTTAAGAAGCCTAAAGGGAAAAGAACCAGATATAATAGAGAGAGCTGCTATAACCCTCCAAAGCAAGGGGGGGAATTATAAAACAAACTTAAGGCTTTACTTAAGGAGAAAGTGATCAGACCTTTCAGTGCATAGGACAGGATTGTGAGGAAATTACTATTCAGACATGAATGGTGAAAGGAATAAAATTGAACAGGCTGTCCGGCAGCTTCTTGAATCATTGTAACACACAACAACAGTACAAGCAGTCAGACTCCTGTGTCCTGTCTCACTCCCACCTCCACTAGCACTATCATTACAAAATGAACTGGTCAGGTGAAATCCTGGCGAACTAGCTGGGGCAATCTCCTCTTACAGCCCCAGAAAGATACACAAGCCCACACAAAGCTGACAAGACCAGTGGCTTCCGAGGATCAAAGTGGAATAGGGAAGGGCTAAGGAAGCATAAGCCACACAGGGCTACATTTAATTTTTGGAGAAAACAGCTGTGACAGCTGCAAACACCCAGGAGCCACAATGCAGCAGCAGTTTCACCCTCAGCATGTTTGGCCAGGAGGAGAAGCCATTCATAGAGACACCAATGGGCAGGAGGTATGAGCCAACATCTCAGGAAGTTTAAAGGGCAGCACCAAGTCCTGCTCCAGGGGACAAACCACCTCAGGCACCAGCACACACAGGGGCCAGATGGAAGCAGCCCTGAGGGTCTCCATGGACAAGAAGAATGTGAGTCAGCCACACATGCCCTTGCAGCAAAGAGAACCAACAGCCTCCAGATAAACAACAGGTCAAAGGAGCTGATCCTTCCCTGTGTTCAGCCCTGGTGAGACATCCTTGGAGTCCTGTGCACCCCAGCACAACAGGCACATGCAGACACTGGAGAGAGCTTGGGAAAAGGCCAAAAAGACGACGGACAAACTGGGACATTTCTCAGAGAGGCCAAGAGAACTGGAACTGCTAAGCCTGGAGAAGAAAAAGCTTATGGGGTTTTTACAAATGTAGATAATTACCCGAGGAGAGGAAGTAAAGAAGACAGAGTCAGGCTCTTCCCACTGCTGCCCTGTGACAGGACAAGAGGCAACAGGCACTACATGAAATACACTAAAACAAAAAGGTTTAAATGTAATTTCATGGAAGAGTTATTGAAAAATGCAAAGGTTGCCCAGAGTGACTGAGGAGTCTTCCTCCTTGGAGATACGGAAAACCCAGCTAGATCAGATCCTGAGCAACCACCTGTTTCAATTTTCACTACTTTGAGCAAAGAAGGTTAGACTTGACCATCTCCAAAGATCTATTCAAACCTCACCCATTCTGTTATCCTGTATCAACAAAGAAATAGGAAGGATTGTCATGAGGAACACCAGTCTAGCTAAATACCAAGTCTTTCTTATCAGCACTGACAGTCTCTAAAACTATAATGATGACAGTATGGATAAGTGGCCTCTGGACATCTGGTATTGGTTGAGTGTCAAACCCTGCTGTGAAGTGAGGCTTTCAAGGATAATACTGTCTGCTAACAAACACAAAGATTAGTCTTATGGAATCACAGTCTAGTAGCACTACTTTCATTCCTGTGAAGCTGGACAAAGGCTTTTGCAGCACCTCATGCTTCAGCAAGGCTGACAGTAGTAACCATTCCCTACTGAGCCCCAGTAATGGCACAAATGCCTGTCCTAATATTGACTGTTCAAAGCAAGAAACTCAGGATTTAAAAGAGCCCAGAGGAGTCCTAGATACTTCAGGTCTGTAGCTGATACCACATTCATCCAAGAGATGCATTTTTTTCACCTATTCCTACTGATCCATCAAGCACTGTTCCCAGAGAACAGAGGATTCATTTGACATCCATTAGACTAAGGACAATATTTCAAGGCTTCATGATTATTTGAAGGTGAGATTTTTTTTTTCAAAAGCATGAACTTTTGAAATGGTATCTATGAAAAAAAGCTGAGTTAAAAGAACCAGGACAAAGTTTTGGTGATCGGGTCTTTGATTTTTAAAGCAGCAGAGACATTCCATTGAGAGTTAAGGCAGTTGAGATGCACAGAAAATAGACTGTCCTCATTTTACCTTCATGCATTAAAAAAATACATATATATCAATTTAACCTCAAGCACACGCACACCCACAGGTATTCATATTTCAGTGTCACAAATAAGAACTCTAATTTTACGATTACTTTCCATGAAGGCAAAGATTAAGATTAGGTGTTAGATTAATCTCCCCCTAGAGGGGAAAAAAAGCTTAAATTCCACACATCAGCTGTGTGGGATCTATTGAAACAACCTCCTGGTTTGCTGAAGGTTGCCATATTTTGTGCTAGCTAAATAACAGATCAAATTGGATTGCAACAATGTGTGGACCAGTTGGAAAACTCAAGACTGCTCAAATAGAAAGATTAAGAAATTTCAGTTAACAATACAGTTTTTTCTTAAGCCCACAGAAAGTTTACAAAGAGTAATTCTAAAATGGAATGTTTAACACAAAGTGGGCCAAAATAGGCTTAATTTATAGCATCTGTTAACCTTCTACAGAAAAAAATCCCCAAAGGATTAAAAAAAGCATGCCTTAATTACAGCTTTGTTTCAGTGGATTCCACTGCAAGATATAGGCCACTATAAGCATCAGATGTCCCACTCACTGTAGAATTAATGCAACAAAGCGGATAAAGTAAATACCTGCTACTTTGGAAAAGAGAAAAAGAAGTAAAATTATGTTGAGAATACGCTTTATAAATACCAAAACTGCACTGAAAATTCAAATAACACTGTAAACACTACACAGTGTTTCTCTAAAACAGTCTTGTTTTAAGGTGCATCAGCACATAATTCCCTTTGAATAGACTCTTCTCCTTGGTCTCTTCCCCTTAAGTCCCTGTGAAGAGTTCAAAAGAGTTTGAGAATTTGTTTAAAAACAACTTGCTTTCCCCCCCCCAAAATCAAACAACACTTTGATTAAAACTGGAAAGCAGCTTCAAATGTCCCCAAGCTCCTCATTCCAAAAGAAAGGAAAGAGGAAGAAGTGTCAATTATTTAAATGATACCACAAAACTACTTGTGATGCAGCTCAGTATCAGTCAGATGGTTCATCTCTGTTGAATTTGTTAGACACAAATATATTCTCATCTTAAAACACACATGAAGTAAAGCCACTTCAGGTGATGCTCTTTCATTACAGGTGATCATTGCAGATCACCTTCATATCTGTCACGTGATGAAAGCACACACAGCTTCTGCAGTCTAGCTAATACGTGGCTAATTATTTATACTTATATATGTGTTTATGTCTTTTGAGTTAAAAGCAGTTTGGAGCACTTTCTACAAGACTCTCAACTCAGATTAGCAGTTAGAGATAGGATTTATATTAAACAATAGTTAACAAACTACCTTTCCTAGAACACCTATTTAAACTAAGCATACTTATAACCATAGAACCCTTACTAATCTGTAACACTGGAACCCTAGCACATATGTACCTTGAGCTCTAATATCAGCAAGAGGAGAGTAAGTCTAACTCAGTTTCCATGCAAAGTCTGCAATCCATTTTGATCTAGCCTGAGGCAAGACTGTTCTCTGGATCTGTTCCCAAGTACTAACCAGCCTCAGAGATCTAAACTGATCTTGCCTTATTCCAATATAATAATAAAAGTTTCCTTACATAGGACATACCAATTTTTGTTTTGTTTCAAGATGAGTAATAAGATAAATAAGATATCGAGCAAGTTTATCTAACAAAAGACTTATTTGGAAGTGACTTCTACAAAGTGCCTAACAAAGGTCATTTTCCCCCATTACAGCACATATGTATCAGGAACTTACTGAATTTACTTTTTTTTCTTTAAATAGAGGAGCAAGAAAAAGTTGCTATGCATTGAGCTGATGCAGGGCAAGCCAAGACAAATTAAGACATATTCTCTAGCAAACTTGCTAATGCATC